TTAATTAATTAATTAATTTATTATTATAATTATTTTTATTTTATTTATTTATTTTTGTCTCACAGAGATGTTCTGTGTGGGTTACTGCTTTGCACAAATCTGACAGAAAGGCCKAAGTTTGGTGACTTGCAGGGAAAGCTTACAAGTCTGACCATCCACCATCAGAACCGATACATGGACTGCAGGTGAAGCGGTTTCTTTAACTAGAGGAGAACATGTGTTAGTCTGTAGCATATTAGTGTTGAAGTTTGATTTACTGAGACTGTCTGTTCCAGGGGAGGTCATGCAGTGCTGGACGATGGTCTGGATCTGGGCTAYGTGGAGGACGGGACGCCATGTGGGCCAAACATGATGTGTTTGGAGCGCCGCTGCCTCCCCRTCACAACCTTCAACCTCAGCTTATGTCCGGGCTCCTCGTTCTCACACATCTGCTCCCACCACGGGGTGAATCTGTTTTTTCACATCACGTTTTATGTTCTGTGAAGCCGCGTGGCGAGTTCAGACTTTGAGTTTGAAGTTGTGTCCTACAGATCTGTAGTAACGAGGTGAAGTGTATCTGCGATGCCGACTACACCGGGAAGGATTGCAGTGTGTTCGACCCCATTCCTACCACAACCCCGGGAGATGGACTAAAGTACAAAGGTAATCAAATGGAAAATTAAACTCTTTTTTTCAGTCAAGCACAGTAAACTCGGGGTAATCAATAAAAACCCYTCTATGTAATAAAAATTTCCCCATTAAAACAGTGTATTAGGGCCAATAGATTTTTATTTGTTTCCCAGTTTCGACATTAAAAGTCACAATGTTGAGATCAGTGTTGAGAAAAAATGTCTTGAAGGATAAACCTTGAGATAAAGCCCACTGTGCTCCTTTTTCTGTGTTGTGGGTGCACTTTTCGTGTGTTAACTACAAAGTAACAGTATTTCATTTAAGCAGTCAGATGTGATTTGTTACGTCTGCTGAAGGGGAACTYATTGTCACCTTGTTTCAATCCTTCACAATAAGAGTCTTGGAACTCCACACACTTGTATGGGAAGTGAAATGTCTTCAGCTTCAGAATAGAAGTCCAGTTGTTTTTAACTTTTTCTTTTTCCTACAAATAACACATTTTTTTGCTCCTTGGCACACACTACTTTTTTCCTGGCTGTGGCGGAGTGGTTAGGGGAGTCGTCCTGGAACCAGAAGGTCACCGRTTCGATCCCCCGTTCCAGCCGTCTCAGTCGTTTTGTCCTTGGGCAAGACACTCCACCCGCCTTGCCTACTGATGTGGTCAGAGGGTCCGGTGGCACCGGTGCTTGGCAGCCCCACCTCTGTCAGTGTGCCCCAGGGCAGCTGTGGCTACAGTGTAGTTTACCACCATCAGTGTGTGAATGTGTGTGTGACTGTAAGTGTAAAGCCCTTTGAGGTCTGGAGGGACTTAATAAAGCTCACTCCATTTACCATTTACTGCCTGACTTCACTCCCACAGGTCCCAGTGGTACCAATATCATAATAGGTTCAGTTGCTGGTGCAATTCTGCTCGCAGCGATAATCCTGGGGGGAACAGGCTGGGGATTTAAGTAAGACTCCTGGCATGTGTCTGTGCACGTCTGTGTATTGTTTGTGTGCATCTGTGTGCCGTGCAGAGATCATTCAGGTTTAACACAGCTGCATGTGCTGCAGACGGTTGGATTCAGTGACTCATTAACTCTCAATAAGCTTGATGACTCTTTAACCGAACTACCTGCATGGCATGAGATGATTATTTATACTTAAGCAGTTTGTCGTTTGCGTAAATCATCTCTAAAGAGAAAGTTTGGCTTTTATTGTTGCTAATTAAAACATTTTTGGTTCTGGGTTTTTGGTTAGATTACGATGTTGAGCCAAAGACATTAAATTGTTGTAAATTTTATGAAACTTTATAATCTGAATGTTTTTTTTTTCAATTTATTTTGATATTTGAGAAATGCTATGTCCATTCAACCAACCATGAGTACATAAATACACTTTAAAATAATAATAAATAGTTTCATTGTGTACTGTATGTGTAAGTGGCCACTCTGAGTACAGACTTGGAGGAGCTGCACTGTTCTTATTTTGTGTTCTTAATCAGATTTCATGCAGTTAGACAAGTGCAATAAAATGTATTGACTCAAATTAAGTGCTTTAAATGTCCAATATGACTTAATTAGATCATATACAGTGGGGAAAATAAGTATTTAGTCAGTCACCAATTGTGCAAGTTCTCCCACTTAAAAAGATGAGAGAGGCCTATAATTGACATCATAGGTAGACCTCAACTATGAGAGACAAAATGTAAAAAAAATTGAGAAAATCATTTTGTCTGACTTTTAAAGAATTTTTTTTGCAAATAATGGTGGAAAATAAGTATTTGGTCAATAACAAAAGTTCATCTCAATACTTTGTTGTATATCCTTTGTTGGCAATGACAGAGGTCAAACGTTTTCTGTAAGTCTTCACAAGGTTGGCACACACTGTTGCTGGTATGTTGGCCCATTCCTCCATGCAGATCTCCTCTAGAGCAGTGATGTTTTGGGGCTGTCGGCGGGCAACACGGACTTTCAACTCCCTCCAAAGGTTTTCGATGGGGTTGAGATCGGGAGACTGGCTAGGCCACTCCAGGACTTTGAAATGTTTCTTACGAAGCCACTCCTTTGTTGCCCTGGCAGTGTGCTTGGGATCATTGTCATGCTGAAAGACCCAGCCACGTTTCATCTTCATTTCCCTTGCTGATGGAAGGAGGTTTGCACCCAAAATCTCACAATACATGGCCCCATTCATTCTTTCATGTACACGGACCAGTCGTCCTGGTCCCTTYGCAGAGAAACAGCCCCAAAGCATGATGTTGCCACCCCAATGCTTCACAGTTGGTATGGTGTTCTTTGGATGCAACTCCGCATTCACTTTCCTCCAAACACGACGAGTTGTGTTTTTACCAAATAGTTCTACTTTGATTTCATCTGACCATATGACATTCTCCCAATACTCTTCTGGAACATCCAAATGCTCTCTAGCAAACTTCAGACGTGCCTGGATATGGACTGGCTTAAGCAGGGGGACACGTCTGGCACTGCAAGATCTGAGTCCCTGGCGTTGTAGTGTGTTGCTGATGGTAGCCTTTGTAACATTGGTCCCAGCTTTCTGCAGGTCATTCACTAGATCCCCCCTTGTGGTTCTGGGATTTTTCCTCACCGTTCTTGTGATCATTTTGACCCCACGGGCTGAGATCTTGCGTGRAGCCCCAGATCGAGGGAGATTAGTAGTGGTCTTGTATGTCTTCCATTTTCTGATTATCGCTCCCACAGTAGATTTCTTCACACCAAGCTGCTTGCCTATTGCAGATTCAGTCTTCCCAGCCTGGTGCAGGTCTACAATTCGGTTTCTGGTGTCCTCCGACAGCTCTTTCGTCTTCACCATAGTGGAGTTTGGAGTGTGACTGTTTGAGGTTGTGGGCAGGTGTCTTTTATACTGTTAACGACTTCAAACAGGTGTCATTAATACAGGTAATGAGTGGGGGAAAGAGGAGCCTCTTAAAAAAGAAGTTACAGGTCTGTGACAGCCAGAAATCTTGCTTGTTTGTAGGTGACCAAATACTTATTTTCCACCATTATTTGCAAAAAAATTCTTTAAAAGTCAGACAAAATGATTTTCTCAAATTTTTTTTCACATTTTGTCTCTCATAGTTGAGGTCTACCTATGATGTCAATTACAGGCCTCTCTCATCTTTTTAAGTGGGAGAACTTGCACAATTGGTGACTGACTAAATACTTATTTTCCCCACCGTATTGTTAGAAAAATTTCATATCTTCTAATTGATCCATGTCTGTTTGAAGTCATAAGTCAGTAGCTACCAACACCATGCATTCCACCAGTTATTCCACTAAAGCTGAAAGGAATAACCTGGATTAACTCGAGGAGGATGAATTAAGCTTCAAAGCAAGTAAGTTATTAAAGCTCAGGTGTTGGAAACAGAAAAATATGCAAAGTTATGACAAGACGAGTGAGTCAGGATCTCCAGAGGTGGTGTGTTCTCTGTTGGACTGCTATTACAAGAAACTAACCACTGCTCTGKTTAAAAAATTCTGGGGCCCGTTGCACAAAAGTAGGATTTATACGTCCAGGATACCGGCTGTAAGCTGCGCTTGAACAAGCCTTCAACTTGTAAACAGCTGTAATCTTTAGCTCAAACATCAAGCCATGCTTAAACTAGGTGGCTCATTCAAGACAGCTGTAAATAATCTTGGATGAATGCAGGTTCACTGTTTGCCTTCAAGACACTCTTTTGGATCGGACCAACTTTGGCTGGAGGAGTGGGGTGGGGTCAACTTGGCATAATGACATAGAGATGTCAAATAAATTTGAAGCTGAGTTGTTTTTTTTTTAACGGGCAATCCGTATAACTCAAAATATTTATTCTATGATCTTTTAATACAAAGTAAAAAGAATGAGGCTGCTATGTAAATAAGAAGATTAAATAATTTGATGAAACACTGATTTCTGATCAAAGTTGCTTTCTACTGCTCTGAAACTATAATGGATTAAATAAGCTCCATTTTAAGCCTGTTCGGGACCAGGTTAGATTCAGAGGACTTGTTAACATGTGCCTCTTTATGTAACCAAGTCAAGGTTTAAGTCATCCTGGATTACATGAAAGTTTCAGYTTAATCCCTCATTCAGGTTTTGTGCAACTGACCCCTGGTTTACAGGGACCGTAACAGTGATGTGAAGGCTGACTGTGTGGTCGGATGTCACAGAATAGCAAAATGCTAAAGGTATTGTACTGTAAAAGTGTATGTGTAGCCCAAGATTGGACTGAGTTCCCTTATTGATCATTTTCTACAGTCTAAATGATCAGGGGGGACATGGGGGGGGGGGGGGGGTATCTGGGGAAGAGATGGGAGAAAAGTGAAGACTAATGAAATTCTGGGTGAAGTTTTGAAAGTAAAACTCAGGTTTGGTTTTTTAGAGTATTCAGTGTTTTCATGTCAGTGTGTTGGCTTGTTTCTACATGAAAAATTGTTCCAGTTACCCCACTGCTCAGAACTAAAAGGACCTGACTGGAAGCTGGAAACCACAGAGCACCTTCAGATGTTTCGTAGAAGCCAGAGCTGAGAAGGTGGTTGTAATGTTGTGGYTGATCGGCCAAAGTGAAAAAAAAAGAAGTTTGGTATCTTGGCTGGAAAAACAAGCAGCACAATGGTTTAGTGGTTAGCACTGCTGCCTCATAGTAAGAAGGTTCTGGGTTCAAGCACCGGTCTTGGATCTTTCTATGTGGAGTCTCCATTTTCCTCCCGCCATCCAAAAACATGCATGTTAGGCAGTCTTCTGTCCTATGAGGGTCTTCAAAAAGAGCTCTGTGATTGTAGTGGGTTTTGCCTTGTTAAATAAGTTAAAGATACATTAACAGTCTGTTGCACATTTTCTGTCTGTAGTTTGCTTTATTCCGCCTCTCTGTCTTGCCTCATGCTTTGCAGTGACACGCCTGCAGCATGCAAAGGAACAGAAACTTGTTTTTTTCTTCAGCTTGTATCAAATTCTTGGTCGGCTATGATGATTTTATTCATTACGCGCTTTTATGTTTACCGCTTTGCTCACAAAGCTTTGAAGGCGATGCATGATTTTGTTTTATTCACATTGCTTCTTGTGCACAACGGGTCACAGCTGATAATTTTATTGTTCTTGTTCTCTTGTTTTTCCTTCATCACTGTGGATTCAGAAACATCCGAAAGGGAAGGTATGACTCAGACTTTGAGTCCTAGTTTCACTTCTGGGACTTTTAGTTTTTATAAAAATCCAGTCTGTCACCTGCTATTTAACTTGATTTCTTATTATAACACTTTAAAAATAGTCATGTTTTGATAGTATTAGACATAATGTACACAACTTCAGCTTTAGTTTGCAGCACCAGTTCACAAKTTGTCTTTAGTTTTGACTTAAATGATTTTCTTTTCTGCTTATTTCTTTACTCAAACCTTTTTAATCTTCTTACTTTTGTCTTTATTCCTACTTTGTTTTCAGATCTTCTGGAGTTTGAGTCGTGTCTTCCATTTTGAGCCATCAGACCTTTTTCTGTTTCCTCCTCTGACCTTTTTGAGCCGTCTGAACTTACCCTTTCCAGAGGAAAAAAAAATCAGAACAGCAGGGAAGTCGATGCCCTCTGCTTGTATCTGCTGTTGGGGAAGAGAAATGCCCAGGTTGTCTGGCTTACTCCAGCTTTTATCTACAGTTTTCTGGATACAGAGACTATGGTTTATAGGAGTAGCTGGTCTTCTGTCATTTGGACTGTTATTATGCTTTATCCCTTTAAGTAATCTAAAGAAAGATGGCCAAACACTTTGACTAGTGAGGCCCYTTATTTAAACATCCAGAGAGCACAGTAGTCTCTCCTGTGACTTTACCTGCAATAGATGTCTATAAATAACTTAAATACTGAATGTTTGTCCAGATGAAGATGTTGGATCTTTACATTCCACAATAATAGCCATAATTTCTCCTCTTATGCTGCCTTTCCTTCTCGGACCATAATCCATCATTTGTAGATCAATGCTTCTAAATATTAGATGCTGGATGTATGGACAGGAGATGCTTGTGATGAAGCTTATTGTGTGTCTGTGTCGAGGACAGGAGCTCTTTTGGACCTTAGTGCAGCCAAGCCAGAGGGACATTTATGCACTAAATGTATTATCCTGCTGTATATCTAATCCATATTCAAAGTGTATGCATATAATTATGCTGAACAATAGGTGCTGATGTAAACAAGTCCTTTAGACAGCAGGTACTCACTGCCGCTTTGAAGGGAAGCACAAGTCTCAGAAAGCAAGACTCCACTTTCCTGCCTACTAATCAGAACTGATTTATAATCTCAGAAACGTGATGTTTCCCACATGCCTGTGAGAGATTTGGCTACAAAGATGCGACACGCACCTGAATAATTTTTAATCTGATTCCTCCAAATCAAGAAAAAAAGACTGCATCTTAGATTCATGCAATCCTGTCTAGACAAATCAAGTTTATGAGCAATAAAMATATAAATTTAATGTGTAACATTGAAATTACAATTACTGCTAAGTTTTAGAGCAGTGTTTGGATCACTTGGTTCTGTATTTCCCTTCAGAATGTCAGATCTGATTCAGAGTAATGCAGTTAGCGAAAAGTAGAAAACACACCTTTTTACTGAGCAGCACACAGATGCCAGAAGAAAGTTACACTGCCAGTCAACACACAGTACAAGCATTAAAGGAATATCTCCACATTTTTTATGTTAAAGTCTAAAAAAACAATTTGGGAGTATCTCTCAGAAGTCTTTACCATGAAATTAAAATCGTCATCACATCYCTCGGGATTATTTCCTCACCACAGGATTAAAAATGACTGAAACCTCAGGTCACGCTGTGTTTACTACACTGTTGGAGTTGACATGTAGTATTTGGACTGATGACAGGGATTTTGGGCACCGTTCACCGTTGACTGTTAGTGTAAACACTCATATTACTGAACATTAAAAGATACCTGAAACCCAGYGACTGTGTGTTGAATTTGTGTTATGTATGTTATTAAAAAACTTCACTAGATGTAAAAATTCTGCTTGATGATTTTAAAATAATCAGTTTTAAACAGAAATGTTATGTTTTATTGTTCAGAGAGGATGGGAATGATTCACTTAGAAATTGAAGCTTCCAGACCAAAAGTTTGCAATGAATAAAAGGCATGACTGTAAATATATTAAAAAAATTAAATTTAAATATTACAAAGGATTGTAGCACCAAGTTCAGTCCATTCATGTTCTGCAAATGACTGGCCAATCAGAATGACTCGTGTTGATGACCTCACCCGGTTTGGATGATTGTGGTTGAAATGCTAAATCTCAGAGCAAAATGTGGTTTTAACATATTCAACAATAATGTTGCCATCACATTTAATAATTGAAAACAGACAGGAGAAGTAAAACTCCAAAGACTTGCTGCTCCACTCTGATTTCTTCAGATGTCCGATTCACCAATGTCTCCTTTTCCTTTCATCTGTGTCCAGCTGGCATAGATGGGCTCCTCATAGTCCCCAAAACCTTTGAACTCCGCATCAGGAGACTCCRAAGACAAAGGTGCAGCTTCTTCTGCTCCCAAAAAATTCTATAAACATCATTCAAAGTGCAGATATAGAAACAGTTTTATATCTGAAATCCTTAAAACCCTTTTAAATCAGGCTACAAAGAAATGGAAGCATAACAATACATMAATCCTGGGGATGTAACAATTAAGAAAATCAATTTTTTACTGCTTAAAATAAATTTATTTAAACAATTGATTGAATTACATCAAGCAAAAGAAAGTCATCGATCCTTATCATATGCCCAATGTGGATTGATATCATATGCCCATGTAAGACGACCGTTTAATGATTGTCTTAGATGGGCATATATTGTATCATATCAAACTTGWGAACTGAATTAAAATCGAAACATTGTATCATCTAAACAAATCTATATAATCTATTACGATAAAGCTATTGATTTTCACCCCTACAAAGAAATTGCACTAAAACTAAAGCAAAAAGTTCCAAATGTCTCATTGGTTTTACCTCGATATCCAGCTTCAAGTCCATTTCTGTCAGTTTCCACATCTGCTTCAGAGTCACTGTGTAATTATAGTGTTTAAAAGCCTCCTGGTAGAAATAAAGTAATGAACAGTACATAAAGAATTTAGGACAAATAAACTGTTTTTATTACAGAATCTTAAAGTTTTATGTGGCAGGAGAGATTTGTAACTTTATTCAGCTAAAACTCTACAAAGTGCTTTTTTATTTCTTTATATTTCTGTTAAGTCAGTTTTGATTCCCTAAATCGAATCAGTGACTTTATTTTAGAATTTACAACAGTTGTGATGAATGGTGTTCTTACCAGTCTGGGTGTGAAGTGGTCCGGCTGAAGGCCCCACTGTTGACTGTGGGCTTTATAGTACAGCAGGTTCTGCTTCATGACCCCGTCCTCTGGCTCGAACAGAGAGTAGCTGTACGCACAGGGAACTGCTCGKTGGCCGTCGTTTACTGCTCAGAGAAGACCGGGATCACACAGACGGACGAAGCTGCTGATCTCAGCTGACTGGGGGAAAGCTCAACTTACACTTGTAATACGCGTACTGCAGGTGGTGGTAAATAGTGGCCACGAAGTTCTCCACAAAGTAACCGCCAACGTTAGGCCTCAAGTTTTCCTCACACTTTAGTTTACACTTTAATGCRTTGATGTAGACTTCTGTTGAGAGGTACATCAGAATATTTTAGRGATGTACAAAACAAATTTAGTTTATTCTGGGTGATTAAATCTTGCATACCTGCTATGAGGGCGTAGAAGTCTTTGTCCGATGAGAAATGGCTGACCCCCTCGCAGTCGGACTGGCAGAATTTGTACTCCTGCAGGTAGAGTCTCAGAGCTTCCTCAAGAGRTTCGATGCTGCTGCTGTAGTTGCCCGAACTCACCAGTTTCACGCCTCTCACAAAGGAGGCCTGGAATAAGTTTACGCACACTTAAGTCAAACAAAAGTCAAAACAGATGCACAATTTTCTCCAGCAGATAGAGCTGTAAGGCCACGTGAAAGGCATCAGATTTGCTTTATTTGTAGTTAATGACAAAGTTTAAGGTGCGTTTTAAATCTTTTTTTATGTTTGTTTTACATTTATTGCTCCATCATATAACATTTATCTGTAGTCAAGACCAAGAGAGAAACCCTGACCCTCTCCCCAGCGACTCTCCAGCTCCACCTGAAGGACTACAAAGCGCCCCCCAGTTCAGAGATGATGCACAATCCCTCCAGCAAGTTCTGGGTCTGCCTCAATGCCTCTTCYCAGTGGGAAGTGGGACATAAGGAGGCAGTCTAATCAGATGCCCGAAACACCTCAATCTTGTTTTGGTCATGATCCATACCTGACGACCACAGRTGAGGGTTGGAACGTATCGATAAACCAGTAAGGACAAAGACTAGGACCGTAACACCCTCGTTACTGAGGACGAGGACCTGACTCGATCCATCTCTCGCTCCATCTTGCCATCACTTGTGAGCAAGATACCCAGATACTTAAACTCCTCCATTTGAGGAAAAGACCACCACTYTGGTCTGCCACTCCTCAGGTGTTGTCCCAGTYCTCCTYGTGACCTTAACCRTGACARCCCCACAACATCCAGAGCCTTCAGCATCTCAGGGCAAATTTCGTCCATCCCTGGCACCCTGCCACCAGGGACCTTTTCAAATCTGGACATGGTGGATGGTTTTAGGAGTGCTCCTCCCATCACTCAACAGTATTCCCAGTCCAGGCCAGCAGTTCCCCCACCCAAACTAAGCACAGCCTGGGACGGACCTGCTTTCCTTTGAGTTGCCAAACAGTTTCAGAACCTCCTCGAGGCCAGTCGAAGACCCTTCATGGCTTCCCATCCCCTGGGAACGCGAGCCTTATCCAGCTCCACAAATCGTATCCATGGATTTAATGGATTATCAAAAAGGTCTACTAATGCAGATGTCCTCTTGTAAATTTGAAAGTTTTACTTTATTACAAAAACAGCATCCCAGTTTATTACTGTTTTAAATACAGCTTCTTAATGACAGTCCAAACAGTAAAAAGTTCAAGTTTGAAACCATTTTACTGCACTGGTTTGCTTTTTATGGATCATTTGGCTCCACATTTTAAACCCTGCTTACTTATGGGTTTTCCTCCCTCAAAGCAACTCACTGCATCATTTGCCACAAAGTACTACTACCTGTAGCACTTGCCACTTGTKACAAAAAAGGTTTTGCTCACCTCATAACTCTGCTCTTCATGGTCGATGAGGTAACCGTCCAGGTCGTACTCGTTCTTGTACCCCTCCATCAGCTGACTCATGACCTGGTCCCCTGGGTTCCTTTGGAGGAAGGTGTAGGCACACGGGACAGCCTTCTGCAGGTCGTTCAGCTGCAAACATAAACCGTCTCGGCTGTCTTTCAGATTAGCAAATGTAAACARTTTAAACCCTAAAATGYAAACCGTCGTTTTAGMCAAAATAAAAWGGTAACTTTCAGRATGTTTGTTGCTAATTTAAAATGTATTTTACGAGCATTATSTATGCACACTGAGGCATTGCTCACATCTGGTCTCATCTTGTCATTGATTTTTGACCTTGCCTAGAAAAGTTCCCCCAGTTGATGGCAAGTGATTAAATCCATCAGATTTGTGTCTGTGGGTCTGGATAACCAAACCTGTGGAAAGATGAGATGATTTCTGTGTTCCTGACCAATGTGGGAAAAGGACCAACAAGCCAGTGAACATTTTGATCTGTTTTTTTCTTTGTCTCTTTCATCATTTCTTACTAAAGGCCCTGTTACACTATAATGCTATAAACAACTTATGTCCGTCCATTCATTTTCTTCCGCTTATCCGGGTTCGGGTCACGGGGGCAGCAGCCTAAGCAGAGAGAACCAGACTTCCCTCTCTCCAACCACTTGGGCCAGCTCCTCTGGGGGAATCCAAAGGTGTTCCCAGGCCAGCCGAGAGACATAGTCCCTCCAGCGTGTCCTGGGTCTTCCTCTGGGTCTCCTCCCAATAGGACGTGCCCGGAACACCTCACCAGGGAGGCGTCCAGGAGGCATCCTAACCAGATGCCTGAGCCACCTCAACTGGCGCCTCTCGACGTGGAGGAGCAGCGGCTCTACTCTGAGTCCCTCCCAGATGACTGAGCTTCTCACCCTATGGGAGAGCCCAGACACCCTGCAGAGGAAACTAATTCTGTCAACTTGTATCGCAATCTTGTTCTTTTGGTCACTACCCAAAGTTCGTGACCATAGATGATGTTAGGATCATAGACMGACCAGTAAAMCGAGAGCKTCGCYTTCTGGCTCAGCTCCCGCTTCACCAYGACAGATCKGTACAGCGCCTGCATCACTGCAGACGCAGCACCAATCTACAACTTAATAAACAAGTCATGCCAACTTGAAAATGTTGTTGTGACTCATACTGGTTATGTATTTGATCTAATTGTTTAGCGTTATATTATGTATGTATACTGTATGTCCAAAAGAGGCTTCCAGTAGATTTTTTTGTAAATTCCATCTTCAGCTTAGACATCTTTAGTGCTGGACAAACTTTTCATAAATTGGTAGAAGTTGTCCAAACCGTTGWAGTGYGATAAGSCCTTAAGAARCTGCTGATGGCCTGATCCAAGAAGMAGCTCTGAACTGATCTTTTTTTTTTTAGCAAACATTCTACCCTTTTTAGTTATTCCCCATGTTTTCTCAACAACAAACTTTTTTCAGATGAGAATACTGCAGACTGTATTTTACCTGGGAATAGGCAAAGTGTAGAAATCTGTATGGAGATCTGGTGTTGAACTCTTCCATAATCTCCCTGCCGGGGGGCGGCAGCTGCAGGGCGGGGAGCTGCGCTCTGCACCCCCGCAGACAGCCGGCTGTCCTCAGGACGCGCCAGAACGCTCGGAGATCCGGAGCTGCGGCTGAGAACGGCTCGTTGTGGTCGCTGTCGCAGAGGACCGCACAGAACCGCACCGAGTCTTGCAGAAGACGGCGCAGACGCAAACTTAACTCCAGGTGCCGGATCGACTCCGTCCAGTTTTCTGCGGCGTAAAAGTCCAGCGCCAGTCCGTAGGCGGCGGTGAGGGGCATGAGCTCCTCCCTGGGGAAACTTCTGAAGCTGTAGTTCTCATATTGCGCGGATGTTGTTTCAACAAAAGTCACGCAGAKGAATGTTAACAGCAGGTCTCCTTTTGCGCGCACTCTGACCATGATAAGATCCCTGTCCTGTTCTGCAGCTTCTCCRGTGTTTTTGTGGCGGTCTGTTAAAGAACTCAGGGGTCTGAGGGAATTCTGTGATTGGGTCTTTCAAAGCCAGCTGGCTCAGGTTGCACAGAACAAACCTCCAGCTGCTGCGCCAAATCTGCGTCAAGTGGCTCAGCAGCAGCCATGCTTACGATTAACAGTCAAACTTTGTTTTAAAGGGGTCCTTGATTAGTTGTAACATTAGACTTTATTTTACAGTTAAAATATATGTTTATTAAATAAAGACTGTAAAAATACTGTAGGCTGTTTAGATTTTGTAATTTTTAAACTAAAAGTTTAAAAA